AGAAAATAGATTTAGGAAAAAATAAAAAATATATATATATATAAAAATCATAAAAAAAGAAATAAAAAAAAAATAAATTAAATAAAATTTAATATTAATAATTATTCATATGCAATATTTTATGTTGAAGTTTGTTAGTGACTAGCACTAGAAGTAGAAGATTTCTGCTGACTTGTAGTAGAAGATTCTTGCTGACTAGCACCAACAGTAGAAGATTCTTCTTGTAGATCTTCTTGCGAAGTATTTTTAAGCTCTTCAGCAGTTTGTAAATTTTTAGATGAAGAGTCTGAAATATGAATAGTCCTTCTAGTACGTTTGTCTCTTCTTGAAGTCTAAGAATTATGAATAAAAAAAAATTTAATTAAAATATTTATATTTAAATATTATTTTTTAAATTATAAAATTTATAATTACTGATTCAGAGGTTTGTAAATTTCTTTGCTTTCTTTCTCTTCTGCTAATTTCTTCAATAACAACTACTTTAATTTCCTTATCTTCAGTAACTGAATCTTTATCTTCAACAGGAGAGACAAATAGTTTTTGAGTTCTTAATTTATCTTTATAATTTAATTATTTTGCAAAGATTCGAAATTAATTAAGATTTTTTTATATTATTTAAATATTTATAGATATATTTATATTATATATACTTACTAAATTTTTTCTTAGTCTATTTTTGACTATTTTCTCTGACATAATTAATTTTTTATATCGCTCACTTAGCATAATTTAACAAACTATTATTGTATATACTAGTAACATATTTGTAGATATAGCTCTAGCCAAACCCTAGTGAGAATATATGCTATATATATATCAGTATTATTATTATTACTTATAGATATGAAAAGCTTTCTATAACACTCTTTTGTTTTTGCTGAAGCTTTCCATGCTACAATAGCTCCAGAAGCTAAATTTGTATTTATAGAATCTAGCTGACTTTTACTGAAAACTAAAAACATTGTATCTTTTATGCATATTGTTAATGTACTTCGCATTGAATGATGCTGTTTTAGGATCTAATTATATAAAAAAAAATTTATAAAATATTTAGTAAATAAATTAATAATTATTTTATTTAAATTTTAAAAAAATTTAAGAAAAGACAAAAATTTTCACAAATTTTTGAAAATTTTAAAATTACTGAAAATAAATATTAATGAATTAAAAGTAATTACTAAAAAATATTTTCAAATATTCAAATATTTTCAAAATATTTCAGATATTTTGAAAATCTGCAATATTTTGAAAATATTTTGAATATTTGAAAATATTAAAAAAATTTATCAGAGCAGCAATATTAGTCTTGTAATAAGTATCTCATTACTTATCTGTTATATTGTTTAGATAATTATTTAGATTTTTATTAAGATATTCTTCTGTTGCTATTTTAAAATCTTGCTCCGTAAGATAGATTTTATACTTAATTAAAGCTTTTGCTGTAGCTTTAACAGTTTGCTATTACAAAATATTTATTAAAGATAAAAGAAAGGAAGAAGAATAGAACCTAACAAATATACAACAAGCTATCCATTATGAACAAGAAGAAAGACCAGAAAAAGAAAGAATAGATAAGAGGCATTCTTAGTGAAGAAGATGCAGAAAAAATCAAAAATATTGTCAGCTCTAAAAGAATGATGATTAAATTTTAGAGTCTTTTTTGGCATATCTAAATAGAACTTGTATATAAAGAAATACAGAAAAGCTGTTACAAAGATATAGAAGCATAAGAGAAAAAAGAAAAAATTTCAAGAAAAGAAAAATATGCATGAAAAGAAAAAGGAAAGAACAACTCAAAAAAATTATCTGCAAGGAAAAAAACAAATATTAGAGTAGATGAAAACAGAGAAATTTGTAATTCTAGTTTTAAAATAGCATTAGATAATATAGCTAAAGAAGTAAAGAAGAGAATAATAGCTGATTGGAGTTAAAAATTAGTTATAATAGGCTATAGTGTTCTTCCTATTTTGATTTATAGCTTATAAATTATAAACTGTTTCTACATAAGATAAAGGTCATTATAGCAGATTATATATAGGTATCTATAGGATAACTGAGTAAGTTATAGCTTAAAAAATTAGTTATTAGATAGTATATAACTAAATAATATTGTTTTTAAATAAAAAACAAGTTTAAATAAAGTTATGGCATAACTGCTGAATTTAAAAAAAAATTTTTGTAGTATTTATTTTAATATTATAAGACAAAAAATTTATATTATCTATAAGCTAAAAATAGACAATTTTAAGAAAATTTTTTACTCAAAAATTTGATTAATATTTTTAGATGGACTTCTTTAATTTAAATTTTAGAAATATAATTCTTGAAGCAATTTAATAGAACTTTTAAAAAATTACAACTTTCATTATTACAACTTTTATAATTTAATTGAAAGAATTTAGACTTGTATTAGAAGTAAAAAATTTGTTTAGCTTTAGGAATATATAAAATTTATAAATTTTAGAAGAAAAAATTTTATAATAAAAATACAGGAAGTTTTCTGTGAGGATTATAATGCCTCATGTGATCTATAGTACCTATTTGGTAGTATCTCTATAGAAATATAAGTGATACAGTGAATACAGAAAAGGTGATCTAATAAGAATAGCTATAGCATAAACTCTGATTAAGACTATAGTAGGTTAGTTATAATATAGGTCAAGTATATCTCGAGGATAAATTAGTCCTAAGGTTGTATATAGATATTAAAACTAGTTATAATCATTACTTGTAATAAATTATAACAAAAATTTAATAAAGAGTTCAGCCAAAGAGGTCATTTGTAAAAAAAAAAAAAAAAAAATTTTATAATAAAAATTCTTAAAGCTAAACTTTTAAGCTTTATTATTTAAAAGATTTCTAATAAATTTAAAAAAGTTTCTTAATAAAGTTAATAAAACAGATGTTTAAAACTATTTTTTAATTAGTAAATATATTGTTAAAATTAATATTTAAAATTTTTATCTGATATTAAAAATTATTTTTAAAAGTTGTAAGCAAATTTGGTTGCAATACAATTTAAAGAATATATACTAGACAACTAGCTAATATAAACAGAATTATAGAATCTAAAAAAAAAGTAAATAAAATTTTATTTAACTTTACAAAATTTTTTTATAAATATTTCTATAAATAGCTATAGAAATTCTGTTATAAAATAATAACAAATTAGAAAAAAAAAAATTAGTAAAGAAAAAAAAAAAGAAAAAAAAAAATAATACTTGAATAAAGAGAATATAAAACTAGAAATCTCAAAGAAAGAAACCAAAGTAGAAAAAAAATAAGAATCCTAAAAAAAGTTTCAAATAGAGTTAATAGATAAATAAAAACTAAAGAAAAAGAAAGATAAATTTATATTAAAACAAAATAAGCAATCTTGATATAAGCTAGTAATAGTTTCTTAATAATTAGAAATTAAGATTTTGTATATTTACAAATTAAGATTCTTATAAGAGAAATAATTATTGTAACAGATTACACTTGAGTACTTGAAAGCAAATAAGTAAATCTGAATTAGTTAATAGAAAAATATTTAGTTATAGATTTTTATAGTTTTTATATTTTGTAACTTATAATAGTTTTATTTTAAAATAAAATGATAAACAAGATTATTTAAAAATTTAGATATATAACGCACTCTCTCTCCTGACCACAAAAATTAGGATTGAGAGTTTTTTAGAAACGACAAAATAATCTCTACACAAGACAACACTAACTCTAAAAACAATAATAGAACAGGGGCTCTTCCTCTAGTTCCAAGCAAGCACAAAACTTTTTTCACAGAAGTTCCAACAAATAAAAAAATTAAGCTTACTAGAGGTTTTTCATCGAAAGAACAACTTCTAGAAAATAAAGTAGTTTTATATCCTAACAATGAAACTATAGAAGCAACAAGCAACCAAACTACATTAGCTAGCTTAGTACAACAAAATACCTCTGTAGCTAATACTTCTAGCTGGGACGAACAAGTCGCTCAAGAAAATAGCACTAAAAGTTTAGAAAAAAAATAACAAAACAAAAACAACATGAGTGTTGCATCTAGCTCTAAAGCATGTAATGAAAGTCAAAATACTGAGACTCAAACAATAACAAAAACAACACGTCCAGATTTACGTGACTCATCTCTAATAGAACTTAAAAAAAGTTTAACAAACAATAACAACGAAACTTTGCAAAGACCGTAGTCAAGTTTATTTGCAAAAGTCAAGAGAGGTTAATCAACCTTTACCTCTTTCTCTCCAAGAAATAGTATAAAATCAAAAAATGATAATGCCCTCATTTTGGATATACAAAACCTCAATGGCTCTTTAAATGAAATCATGATTTCTCTTTATGAAACAGCAGCACGTAATATTATCACTGCTAAGCTACATATTAGTAGAGGCATACACACTTATCTTGAGCTAATATTTGCTAGTGAAGAAAAACTCAAGTATTATACCACAAAAGAAATTGAAATATTCAATAAGACCTATTATGGCTATATTCTAACTGATATGAGAAGGTCCTTCCTCTTAGTTAAAATCAGAAATGTACCTTTGGGTAACAAAGAAGATATTTCTGATAAAATCAAAGAGGTCTTTGATAATATAGGTAATATCGTTTCAATTAAACCTCTCTTAATTAAAAGTACTCCCTATTTGACAGACCAATAGATAGTCACTTTTGAGACCACTGATGACTCAGATCTTGAAGAGAGAATTCTATACTTCGAGGTTATTTTCAATAATAAAGTTACTACAGAATAGCATTCTGCTCCTAAACTCTGTTACTTCTGTGACAAAGAAGGGCATATTAAAAAAGAATGACCCTAGTTCAAAGAAGCCTTACTGCTCTATTAGCAGCATAAAGAATTTCTTGCCAGCAAAAAGAAGAGTAAAACTGTTCATATTGAATTAGATGATAAAAAAATGAACTAACAAGACTCCACTTTCTCTGTTAAAGACACAGAATCTGAGACCTCCTAAACAGATATAACTTTAGAAAATAGCTCCTCTAATATGGAGGACCTGAATTCAGAAAACCCCATTGTAGAAAAAGAAAACACAGAAGCCTCATCAGTCAGAACTCCTAATAATAGCAACAAAGAGAACATCACAACTGAGAGTATACAAGTAGAAACTGCTATGGAAATTGAAGATTCTAACTCACCAAGAATTCTAATTGTACCTATTACAACAACAATAAGTTACACCTGCAAACTAAAAATCTTGAAGAAGGATTCACCACAGTCTCTTCAAGAAAAAGAAAAAACAAAAAAGATATTTCAGAACAAAAAGAAGAATTAACTAGAGTTGCTCCTTATAGGAAAACTTGTAATGGAGTACAACATTCACAGATCTAATTCTGTATTACCTAACCTCTAATATGACTGATCAACTTAAATTTAAGATTGCAACCCTAAATGTCAAGAGGTTAAATAATCAACAAAAACAATGGAACACTCTAACTCTTCTTAAATCTTATAAATTAGATATAATCATATTACAAGAAACAAACTTAAATGACCAAAATACATGAAACTTTCTTAAAAACTAATAGATTTTTAACTCTATTTGGATAAACAAAACAGCTATACTCACAGGCAACAAAAATATTATATTTAAAGATACAGAAATAGATCTAGATAATAGAGTTATCTTGACAAGCTTTAAACACAAAGAACTTACATTTCAAATCTCTAATATTTATGCTCCTTCTAATCTTAATGACAGAAAGCTCTTCTTTGAGAAGTGGACACCTCAACTCAAAGAAAACTTTATCATTATAATCGCAGGAGACTTCAACACTAACTTATATCCAGAAATAGATAGAACTAGTGAAGCAGTCCCACAACGAGATACAATAAGAACACAACTACAAGACCTCACAAAGCATTTTTTAGACTCCACAGTTCTTGCAAAGTCTAGGCCTTTCTATACCTTTTTTCAAAAAACCCAAAGAAATCGTATTATAGCTACTCACCTAGACTATATATTTATCAATGAAAACAATGCTAATTTAATTTCACAAATCGATATCAGGTTTGGTAACTCTGATCATTTCTTAGTAGAATGTGTACTCAACTTTAGTACTAAAAGAAAAGAATTAGCTCTTTAGAAATTAAACAAAGACTGCTTCAAAAATAAAAAACTTAGAAATGAGATATTTGATGAAATTACTGAGCTAGAAGACTTAGAGAACTGAGACTTCTGCAAAGTCCATATACAATCAATAATAAGAGATTTCAAAAAACCAAAAGCAGCAGAAAGCAAAATCACAAAATTAAACAAAGAGATTACTCGAATTAGAAAAAGACTTATTCATAATCCAGAAAATATCTTTTTACATACTCAAGCTGACAAACTAGGTCTTAACCTCCAAGAAGAACTAACTAATCTTGCAGAAAAATAGCAAATTTGCTCTAAAGCTCACTAGATTGAACAAGGCGAAAAATCTACAAAATACTTCTTTGCCAGATATAAAATAAGAAAAACTCACTCAGCTCTTAAAGACATCAAGAACCCTGAAGCCTCTTTACAAACTAAAGAGAATACTCTTCACTATATCAGAAACAAATACGCTGAAATTTATAAAAAAGAAGACTTCAGCCAGTTCTCAGCAAAAGAAATTACAGAAAATTTGACTCAAGTCTCTCTACTACATAATCAAGAGCTAATACGTGAAATTTCTCAAGATGAAATCAGCAACGTTATTAGAAATCTTCCTAACAACAAAGCTCCTGGAACTGATGGTCTAACTTATGAGTTCTACAAACTTACTAAAGAAGTCATAACTCCAACTCTCTATGGAGTCTTTAATCATACTCTATCATCAGGTGTAATGCCACCCTCTTGGTGCAAAAGTTTAATCACTTTAATTTCGAAAAAAGCTTCAAACGTAGAAGATATTAACAATTGGAGACCTATATCACTAGTTAATAGTGATGCCAAAATCTTTATGAAAATTATTGCTAATCGCCTCAACTCTATCTGTGAGGTACTTATACCACATCATCAACAAGGTTTTATTAAGAATAGATCTATCACAGATGCTGCTCTAGATATAATTACAACAATGAGAAATCAGGCAGATCCCTCTAAACAACACTTGTTACTTTTTATTGATCAACAAAAAGCTTTTGATCGAGTTAATCATAACTTTTTAGAACTTACTTTAAAAAGCATAAATTTCGATATTAAGTTTATCAATCTCATTCAAAACCTCTTTTTTAATTAAGAAGCTCATATTACTGAAGCAGGCGATATATCTAAACCTTTTAGAGTCGAGAGAGGTGTCAGACAAGGAGATTCTCTTTCACCTTTATTATATATATTAGCCTTTGAGCCTCTCATAAGAACTTTAGAAAATCGTCTATATAGCATCGAACTAGGAAACCAACTTTTTAAATCTTCAGCTTATGCTGATGACTTAACCATAGAAATTAGTTCTTTAACAGATTGGAATGAGGTTCAATCCTCTCTAAACCTTTATGAAGTAGCCTCTAATGCTAAAATCAACAAGACAAAAACTAAGCTAGTTCCTCTCGCTCCTATGGCTCGAAGAGTAGAACTCCCTAATGAAGAACAATTTGTTAAAGTAGAAGAACAAGATTCTGTTATAATTCTGGGATACAATATTCTCACTAATGGCCAGCCAAAAAAAGACTTATGGTCTACAACACCTAATAAGCTAAAAGATTTTCTCGACAAACTGACAAACAGAAATCTCTCTTTTAAAGGAAAATCCTAATAGCTAAATCACTCATTCTATCTAAGATTTGGTACTCTGCTTATCTTCTACCTCCTAACAGAAAACAGGTTACTGATATCAACAGAATTATCTCTCTGTGGGTTAAAGGTACTTCACGTATGCTCCCTAGATACTCTACTTTTCAATATTCTACAGAACTTGCAGGATTTCAAGCTCCAGTTATCAAGGATATGTTAGACGCTCATCTAATCTCCGTTTGAATCAAGCTCCTTACTTCAGATTCTATGTGGGCAAGCTATGAAAGAAACAAAATTAGCTCAACTCTCAGAGCTAAAAGAAGTATCTCTCTGCTACAAGCTCTAAGTGCTAATAATATACATACTAAAGTCTGGCCTACAGAATGGAAACCTTATTTAACTGCCTGAACAAGAATAAAAGGAAGAATTTCTTCTACCTCTAACTGGCCTTGGAATAAAGAAGAAATCTCTGCTGGAGATCTTAAAGGAGATGAACTCTCTGTTAAAAAATCATTAGAGCTCCTTAAAAATTCAACTCTTTTATCTATCCCATCTCAAGCTTCTTTTCAAACTACGCAAGCTGCCTGGCTAACTCTAAAATCAGTATGCAATAAGAAAAAAGATATCTTCTGGTGTCTCTTTCATAGAGCACTCCCATTAGGCTATTGACTCAAACATATAGGACCAACGGAGACAGGAAATTGTCTCTGGTGTTCTGACGAACTACAGACTATCGAACATTTTGCTGTTGAATGCCCTAGAAGTAAAATTATTTGGGAAGAAGCTTATAAATTCCTGAATATTAACGAGAGAAAAATCCCACCTACTACATTGAAAGAAATCTTCGAGCTATCTAGCTCTAATCATTCTCAAACTTTAATAGCTATATCCTAGCTACATATTAACACAATTTATGAAATCTGGTGTCATTATACCTCATTAAAATGGGGAGACTCAGATACAATACTTAATTCTATTAGCTCCCTAATCAAAAATCGTATCTCTAAAGAAATACGATCTTTAAAGTCTAATTTGTCTTATAACAAATCTAAAACTACAAAATCATTCTGTAAATATTTAAAATGTATATAGATTATTTATAGTTCCTTAATAAAAGAGTGCCACCTGCGCCTCTAGTTGCTTAAGCAACAAGAGATAAAAAAAAAAAATAAAAATAAAAATAAATTAAAAAATTAAATTTTAAAATTTTTAAAAAAATAAAAAAAATAAAAAAAATAAAAAATTAAAATTAAATTTTAAAATTTTAAAAAATAAAAAAAAAATTTTAAAAAATAAAAAGTCTGGTGATTTCAGTATAGTGGTTAGGTTGCCAGACTCTATACAAGAGGTCTAGGGTTCAAATCCTACTGTCAACAGAATTAAATAATTACTTGGATATCTGTATTCAACTTATAGTAAACTCTGCTTGTTTCTAGAGTTGTAACTCTATAAATCATATTATACTAATACCAATTGAGGTATTAGTAGTGTCACAAGGTATTTGGGAGAGCATAACATTACATAAATAAATCTTAATAGAATCTACGAGTAGAAGACCTGTATAGTAGAAATCTCGAGTTAGGTGAAGTAGTATAGATTTTAATAGTTATATCAGTTAACATTTGATCTAAGAAATAAAATCTGCATATGAAAAAATTAGTAACTAGAATACAAGTAAGTCTATTAGAAAACCTGTATACAAAAAGATTAGCAGAATAGATGTGCATAAGTCTGTTACATGAGATCATATAGCAATACCAACTTAGCTTAGTAGCTAACTAGATTTGAAAGAATCTGTGTGTATAATATCTGGAGGTAAAGATAACTTTTAGTAACACCAATTTGAGTAGTAACCAGGTTTGAAAGAGTCTATTTCTGTGATATTTGAAGGTATAAATGACTAATCTAATGAAAAGCTATAGTAGGAACTAGGTTTGTATGAACATCAAACAAAGATATATGCAAGCTAGATTGGAATATAGTATAGCATAGTTGAATATCATAGCACCTATAGATTAGAAAGTTGGTAAAGGGATACCTGAGATAGGTTTAAACTTCGAATCTTAAAGTTTGTGAATACATATTAGCTCTGTTGATGTCTTCTATAAAAAGAAGTAGTATAGGTTTAGACAAAATTAAGGTAATAAATGATAGTGAGATAGAAATAGCATATAGCCAAAAAGTTAAAATAGTGAATTTTTAAATAAATTTCAAGTATAGCAGCTAGTGTAGAACCCTCAGGCAGACTACTTAAATTAGACAATCTAAAGTTGTACATATGGCTAGTTATACTCTCATATATATAATCATTGCTCAAAACTATCTATACTAATAAAAATCTTGCTAATAGCATGTTGTATAAAATAAAAAAAAATAAAAAAAATAAAAAAAAAATAAAAAAAAATATAAAAAAATAGAAAATAAAAAATAAAAAATAATAAAAAAATAAAAAAATAAAAAAATAAAAAAATAAAAAAAATAAAAAAAAAAATTAAATTTTAAAATTTTAAAAAAAAATTAAAATTAAATTTTAAAATTTATAATAAAAAATAAATAAATAAATAAATAAATAAAAAATTAAATTTTAAAATTTTAAAAAATAAAAACTAAAAAAAATCAAATTTTAAAATTTTAA